GAGGATATCGGGAGGCACGCCTTTCAGTACACCGTTCCGAGCGAGATGCTTTACAGTTTCCATGGTTTCGAAATCTTCACACTTGTCTTGGTGGCACTTGTCGCAGTAAAGGCATGGTCGAGCCCGACAGGCATGACCCGGATGGCCATTCTTGCCACAACGTTCACACACCATGTCGATCCAGCAGTTGTGCTCCTTATGTCCGAACTTCATACACTTCTCGCAGAACACGTTCCTGTCTGGGTTATTCGGCCGAGGCGACTGCCATCCAGACTGGGATCCTGATCGGTGCGGTATCCATCCCGCATTCTCCATGGCACGATACACAGCGTTGTGGATATCTTGTTCGGTAGGTGTCGGCTCAGCTCGGACTTCCGCGCTTGGTCCACCTAGACTTCCACGCTTGACTATCTTCGACTCCACTTGGGGACTGACCTCTTCCACTTCATCCTCGAAACGAACGTGTCCTTCAGAGTCTCATCCGGCTTCGTCCTCACTGAGGCCAATGAATGCGCGCCCCTTGGGTCGATGTCGGCTGGACGGGATGTTGTCTGCTCGGAAATCCCGCTTCGGGGATGACGAACTGTCATACTCGTCGACGACAGCATCTCTATCCTGATTCAGAACATACACCAAGTCTTCCAAGAATGTTGTCCGCTCGGGATGACGAACTGTCATACCCGTCGACGACAGCATCTCTGTCCTGCTTCAGAACATACACCAAGTCTTCCAAGACCTTGAAACGCTGCTTGCGCAATACCACTTTCAGCTGAGAGTCCTTCAGGTTCTTGAGGAAACGCTTGATGTGCTCCTCTCGTTCCTTCTTCGACTTGTGGTACTTTATCCCTGCCTTGACAGCAGCTTCGTTCAAACGGTAAAAGAAATCCGATGCGCTTTCCGATGACTTCTGTCCCATCGTGAAATATCGCTCGGGTTCTGACGTACGGGACTTCAGATATTCTTGTCGGAATTCTGCAGACAGATTCTTCCAGCTGGACTGCACATGCTTCGGAAGTTGGCCACGTCAATTGCGGACCACAGACGGCATCTTCATCTTCAACTCTCGGATCTTAACCTGGCTGGTCCACCCACCTTGGACGGACATATTGGTGAACTTCTCCCACCAATTCTTCCGGTCAGAGATCGAGGCCTTCTCGTCGAACATACCAAGCGTAGCAGAGTTCACGTACGGATGTAGCGTCAACATCGTAGTCCCTGCTCCTGCTGCGGACGGCAACACAAGTCGTGACTGGGTATCCTCATACAGGCTATCCTCAGAGCTGCCGCTCAAATCATCGCTACTCTCTTCCGAACTTGAACTCCCACTTGAGTCGGACGGGTCCTCGCCGTATCGAGGTTTCTTCCGCAGTACCTTAGTCAATTTGGACTTGTGCGGCTTCTTCTTCGTCTGGGACCTCACATCCGTAGCGTCGGCATCGTCGGTGACTCCTTGCTGGAGCATCTTGTTTCGTCCTGGGCGCGAGCTCCTCGCGACGCGCTTCTGTCTTCACTTCGACCGGCTTCGCGCTTCTGACAAGTCGTGCGAAATCGGCTGGCAGTGTCGCACGCAACTGGTCGAGCACCACGCTGGGAACATTCTTCAACCCAGGTTCCGACCGGACTTCAACCCCCTCTCCCATGTTTACGCCACGCTGGACAGTTGCCACTTGAGGGCGACTGTTCCCAGTTGACTCGGCAGTTGTTGGTTCGGGGGCGACTGTTGGTGCATCAACTTGAACCTTGGCAGATGTTGCCCGAAGGTCGCGTAACTGTCGCACATGGAATTCTTGGATGTTCTTCGCTGTTCTTTGGTCTTCCATACGGGCGGCCTCTGATTCCTTGAGTCTCCGCTCAAGTTCTTCCATACTCTGACGTGTCTGAGCCTCCCAGACTGCTCGCTCAGCTTGCATCTTCATCTCAGCGTCCGCTTGCTGCTGCTGCACATATTGTGCAATAGCGGCCTCAATAAGCATCCGTTCCGCTTGTGCGGCCTGGTGCGCAGCGGCTTGGACCTCCGCTTCAGCATCCCGTTGCGTCTGGCGCGTCACGTTTCCTGGTTGTCCCGCAATAGGCGACAAACCTTTAGTCGCACACCCCTCTCCCCTCGAGCGTTCGTCCTGGTATCCAGACTGGTCTACAGGAGTCCGAGCACCTACGTCCGATTCCGCACGTGACCTCGTCATCACCATCAATGCCTCAGCCGCGGTAGCTAGAGACTCTGGTATTCCAGCATCAGAGCTATCCGCTCCGAGTTCGACCTGGTCCGAGCGAACCGCATCGGTCGCAGGGGTGCTTGGGATTTCTGAAGGCTTCATGATCTTTTCAGGTATTCTAGATACGAGACGTAGATGCACTATCTCATCGGGGTCATCGAGTTCCCAGGATTCTCCAAGCATGAGAGTCTTGGAGGTCAGGTAGTCAGCTGCTTGGTTAAACTCACGTTTAACATGAATCAATTTAACCGACACGAAACTCTTCATGAGATCTTCATACTCAGATAAGCGTCGTTGCAGGTTGGGCTGGTTGCAATTGATGAGATGTTGGACGACAATCCGGGAATCACCGACTGCCACAAGCTCCTTGACATCGTACTTCAAGGCTAGCTTTAGTCCCAGAATCAAACCATGGTATTCAGCGTCATTGACCGTCACACCTTCAAGGAGATGTCCCTCAGCTTTCACAACCTGCCATCCTGGCAGCTTCCACAGTATGCATCCACAACTTCCTCGGCGAGTGGAAACCTTCGCAGCGCCATCAAAACTCAGAACGTAGCCCTGGTAATCTGCTTCCAACATTTCCAGACTCACTGGTGGCATCACTTTCAGACGCCCCTTGGCAGGAACCAGGGTTTCCGCAACTTCATCTAAATGTTCCCTGCGAGTAATACCATACCCAAGGATGGCCGCAAGGTCTTCATCTTTCTGAGTCCGATGGATTTCCAGTGTCCATCTTGATAGTTCCAGCCCCCACTTTAGATGTCGTCCATCTGCAGTGTTGGATTGTAGTAATCACTTTAGTACAGAATAGCGCGTATATACCACAACTGGGAATTCTGATCCATGGATCAGAGGTCTGAAAACCTCCAGAGTCCGCAAGATTGCGAGCACTTCCTTCTCAGCTATGTGGTAACGTAGCTCTGATTCCTTCAACACTCTGCCAGTAAATCGTACTGGATGTATGCGTTCTTCATGCTCCTGACCCAGAACTGCACACGCCGACCACGGGTTGGCATGCGGAATTATCACGAAAGGTTTGTTTCTATCCGGATGTCGCAACAGCGGGGTCGACACGATCTTACGTTTCAGTATCTCGAAAGACTTCTTTGCGGCTTCCAGGTTCCGTCCAGTGCGTACGCGTTCTTCGTCTAGTTCATAGAGCACGGCGGCAACTACTGATAAGTCCTCAATGAACTTATTGTAGTAGTTTAGACTTCCTAAGAAGGACTGCACTCCCTTGTACGTCGACGGGAAAGGTAAATCCTCTATGCCTTTGACAATCTTCGGCAAGGCTCTGATTCCGTCCGCACTCACTTCATGAGATAGGAATGGCATGGTCAACTTTCCGAATTCACTTTTCGGTAAGCTCACAGAGATTTTCCAGTATCGTAGTCTATATAACAACGCGTCCAGGTCCACACATAGTTGGTCCCAGGTCGACGCCCCATGAGCGATATCATCAATATATGAGCTTCTTCCCAAGGCCGGACCCATTTGTGATGGAGTCGGGATATTGCGTCGGAATACAGTCATGTTCAGTGATGGGATACCTGAATTCCTCATATCCACTTCAGGTTTCAGGGATTCTTGAGGCTCGAGATTTAGGAACTCCAGAACTTCTTGGTCAACCATCGCTTCCTCTTCAGGAGGGAGACGGACGAATCCCCACAGACAGTTGTTGATGATGCTCTGATAAATCAACGGCGCATTCTTCAATCCAAAAGGCATCCTGAGCCATTGAAAGTGACCGAACGGACAGACGAACGCAGATATCAACTTTGCTCGTTCAGTCATTCGCACCGCCCAGAATCCACTCGCCTTGTCGAGACTCATAAACCACATCTCGGATTTGAAGTCTACCAGCAGGTCATCGATCAGAGGTAGAGGATAACGGGATAGCTTAATGAGCAAATTCAGAAGCCGGTAATCAATACACATCCGGATGTCTATGCCGTTTTTCTTCAGCACAATCACAATAGGTGAGGACCACTCGGACACTGAGTGCTCAATGAGCTCTGCCTCCAACAACTTCTTCAGGAGTTCGAACACCTTCACCAAGAAAGGCGCGGTAATCTGTCTCGCACGTAAAGCCACTGGTTTTGCTTCACCAACGTCGATATCACACACCACGCCCCTGGCCGGGGCTGGAGCTGCGTTACCATCTCCCAGGAAGATGCTGCGATGGCGTTTCAGGATCCCTCTCATCTTGGTTTCCATCTCTGGAGTCGTGACTCCCGGAACTCCGACATTAGCTTCGTCGATGTTACACTCTGGGGTCAGTTCCTCAATTTCCGGGAGCATGATAACTTGGTCTCGTAACTGCGCCATCAAATCACTTCCTTCTCTGAGATATACGGCAGGTTCCAGATCCAGTCTTCGGCAGAGACTCGCATTACCCGAGCATATTCTGCCTCCAGCCTTTGGACCGGTGTTGAACAGCTCGTCTGTGACTGGACATCCACTGATGGTTCAGGGACCTGAGCAATATTCTCGACGTTCGCCATACTCTCTGGGTCCAGGGTCTCAACTTCTGGACTCAAATCAGGATGGGTCTGTTCTACCGGCTCAGGACGGTTCTCAAATTCTTCGGGGCCTCTCGCGACTGTATTCATGACGACCGCGGAATTCCCAATGATCTTGAGCGTCATGTCCAATGGTTTCGGCTTTTCCTGCAACTTCACCATCTTCCTTCAGCGGCTTGCGGCTGTGGACGCACTAAGAGCTTAGTAGTCCACTGATATCCCTGAGTCTGGGTGCACGGAGGCTCCCTTTCCCTGAGAATCTGCTCCAACCGTTCAGCACGCATCCTTGCTTGGCGTGACACAGTACCCTCATGGATCAATTGTTGCCATTCCTCATACCGCGCTTTACCAGAACGAACGAATCCAGGTTATCCTGGGAACTCCACAATACGCGCAACCGCAGTCCTAATATCGATCCAAACATTCTGGTCTGAAACATTAACAACTTTGACGGAAGTCGCCCAAGATCTGGCGGAATACAGGACCTTGGTCACCCTGTTTTTGCCTCTCCCAGCCCACAACCAAATCACGTTGGGGATTAGACTGGCCATACCGAATTCGTACAATAGCATCCTGACCAGGACGCAGATGTATGCTTTCCTCTGGGCATACAGGGAGATCCATGCCACGGGACTTGGGATTATTATCATACATCACCACAGTCTCTTCGTCTGGCAGCTTAACTAAGCCTTCTCGTATGCAGAGCCAGACACCTGCCGAATGCATAAAGTTCATGCCTAGCAGAACATCCACACCTTCTCCAATATTTCCAACCCATATATTCAGAACGTACACCACACTCCATCCGAGAGTTATCTTCACTCGGGCATGAGTAGTAATGTAAGTGGTCACTCCTCCTAAATCAGAGACTTTGATTTGACGGTGTGTCCGGAGCTTGAGTTTGAGGCTACGCGCTAGATCAAGACTCATAATGCTCACGGACGCACTAGTGTCCAATAGGATTCTGGTTCTGGAGTCGTTCACAGCTCCATGTATCGTCGCCAATCCATGCATGTCTCCATGTTCATGATTTTCCATCCATCCGTACCTCTGACCCGGTTTCAACGGCACTTCCAAGGGATCCTGAGATTCCGGCTCAGAGATCTCTGGAATCGGGTCATCCGAACGCTGGTACTCTTAGTACAATTGTTCAGGGTAGATGATTTCATATTGAACTAACTTCATGGATTGTTGGTTATCTTGTAGTTGCGTCCTTCGTTCTGGTCCTATACAGACTAACACACACATTTCAGGGGGGTTCTTAGGCCCGTCGCGTACCGGATCCTTATCTGGCGGGCTTAGTGGTTTAACTGCTGCGCCCCTGAAGCGTAATCCTTGGTCTGAAGGAGACTTCGAAATTGGGTTGGTAATTCACTTGCATTTCCTTGCTTCGCCAATGTCATCACTGACTGAAAAGCTTTCCACTATTCACACGATATTCCACTGTGAAAACCTCCACATTCTGCGCAAGGGGTTCTGGTGCAGACTCTGGCCGGGTGTGCCTTGGCTTGGCATCGTTCACATATCATTCCGGTCCAACAGTTGACTTCAGGGTGTCCCCACTTCCTGCATTTCTCACAGAAGACGTCCCAATTTTCTGGTCGTGCTGCGCCCTGACCCGAATGTGGGTTGGGTGACTTCCAGTGTTGGTTCTCTGCGACTCGAAATACTTCTCCATCAATTCCACCACTGGGAAACTCTGAGATCGGCTTTGAGTGCGACTCTGCTTGATCTACAAACACCTCAGGATTCTGAGACTCATGTTGGAACTCTGAGTCCTGCGTAGGTTCGGCATCGCCTTGGGTCATAAAGGCGCGTCCCTGACGTCTAGTTGGTCCACGATTCTGAGGTCGGCCTTGGTGAACGTTGTCGGCACGGAAGTCTCTGGGCTTCGTAGGAGCTGGTGAGTCATATCCTTCTTCACGCCACACATCTTCATGACGACGTAATGCTCGTTTCAAGTCCGTGATGCTCTGAAACCTGTGGCTTCCGAGAGCTGTCTTCAACTGATCATTTCGGATTTTCTTGATGAATCTTCGAATATGAGACTCACGTAACTTAGAGCTCGACTTGAACTTGATCTCAGCATTGACTGCAGCCGCATTCAGACAATAGAAGAACTGCAATGGGGTCTCATGGTCGGTCATCTTCATCGTGAAGTACCTCTCCGAGTACGAGCCCGTGGTACCGATTACAGCTTCCTGAATCTGCGCGACATTTGTTTCCAATCGTGACGCGT